TACTCCTTTTTTTCATCAATTTAAAACATCATCTTTATTATTTCTTTATCACATCAATTTTCGTAAAATTTTGTTTAGTTGTGGTGTTATAAAATGTAACAACCTTGAAATGTGTGACATTTTGACTTATTATGCCCATCTTTTTTTTAAAACGAGGAAAATATTTCAATATTATTTTAAAAACAATTTTGTACAATTGTAGATTTTAAACTAGGTGGAAGTAGAGTTTCTTTTCAATGAAACTACTTAAAAATACTTTCTGACAAAGGATAATAATAATATTTTTAGAATGTTCTACTTAGTTCAACAACTTTTTGCTTGGTTTCTGATGTTACAGAAAACTATCATTATATAGTAGTCAATAATTATGTAAATATATAGAAAAAATAGCATAGATATTACATGTAACTCTAATCTGATTTTCATTTATTTCTTTAGACTTTATGTTTTGCAATAGATGTCAAAACCATTGAACAGAAATCTGTGTTTTCGACTCACAATAGCTAATTATTTCTTCTTTATATTTTACTATATTCAAAGATTAAAAGATAAATGGCTTTGATAATTTTAATATTTGCGCGTAAAGCTGAAAATTCAAAATGAAAATTGTAGACTTAGTATTCATCTAGTATTGTTTGTTTAAATCTTCCAGCTGATGTTTGGGACTGCAATATAGAGGCAATCCTCACAGGATACACATTCGCCGATAAGAGACTGATCAATTGCAGCCCTAAACATCAATGGGAAGCTTAAAACAAGCGATACCAAATGAATTTAAACTTCACTACATTGCACAAGCTAGTGGCTATCACGAATCAGTAGTTAAGTGGATAACGTGGCGGTGTCTGAAGCGAACGGTACCGGGTCCGAGTCCCGGAGTGAACTTCAACTCTGGGATGCAGGTGCGTGCGTCTGACGAGTCCCAAATAGGACTAAACGCGCGTCTCGGATCCCATTGCTGGTTATCAACCATCTATGCTTATAATGTTAGTTTTCATCTGTTATCGGATTTGGTGTATTATTTCATCTTTTAAATACGTAAATAAGTGGATAAACTCTTTCCTGATGTGAGATTTTCTGACAATTTTGCATACTGTGTAAATATCTGAATGAAGAATAAGAGGTTTAATCGATAATAATTTTCTACATAGTTACTCATTGTTCCCTTGCTCTTTTGATGAATTACTATATAATACAATTCTCTGGTGAAAATTTCCTTGTCCTCAAGTTCATGTTCTTCAAAATTAGTATATTTTTTTATCTTAACAGTTGAATTCGTGAGGCGATCTAAGCTAGACTACTGTTGAAAACCTGGAAACACTGAACGGCTATTTCGTCCTAGCACGAGATTCATGAGCAGGACCTTCGGTCTCACGCGTGAACGTTTAACCTCTAACCCACTGAGCCGGCATCCAACGGTGTTAATGTCTAACTTCAACCGATTCATGATCTTGCACAACCTTTCAGGCATCGTCTGAGGTGGATAACTGTCTCACATTCGACACGGATTGGACTCCACCAGTCACGGCTTCCCACTAGAACTCCAGGAAATATCTCTTGAAGCTAGTCACTAGTGAGCACATGATTATCATCGGTAAGGGGATTTGAGGAGATTGCAGTAATTTCCACAGTTGAATTCATGAGTTTATCTAAGCTATTTGTTTATCATTTAGACGTACTGTCGTTAAATTTCGTATGTATATATTATTGTTTATAGTAAAATAAAAATCTTAACTGAGACGATACACTGATAAAACCTATTTTATGGTGATAATACGGTACACATATTATTATAAACAAAACCATAGTTATTGTTTATATGTTATTTACATATAATCAATGTGTTTCATGATTTCTTTATCACTATGCTTAGGACATCACAAGTTTAATTTGTAAACCTAAATATTTCATTACTATTTTATTCAAACACTTTGTACCACAGATAACTATGGTTTATATATTGAAAAGTATAATGTAAATTAAATGTGTATTTTAGAGCATATCGTTATGATATTTTCAATCTATATTAGTATGTTACATTATAATAATAATAATCAATACTAACAGTGATAATAATAACCACACAAATATTATACCCTGAACCAACGTAGTCTGATGAGCAATTAAACATTAGGGAGTCTTTGGCATTTGTGTATAACGTTAGCTATGAAATTCAAGTACCACTATGAGGATTTTGATATATCTGACCACAAGATTTCAAATTTATAGACCCAGTTCATGCAATGGGTTTTCTTCACAAAAATTTTCGCAAACCTTTTTAAATAAGTTTATAATAAAATTGGTGGAGTTGTAGAATTAGACAAACTATTCAGGTACTCCTGTTTATTTAATGATTTTCTCATTGATTAGTGTTATTTTGAATAGGTACATTGAAAAATGGATTATTTGCCTTCATAACAAATTTTATTGACTATAGAAAAGAATGAGATTATCATATTACGTATCAATTATCTTTTAATCATTATGATTATAACTAGTATTGTTACTAATTAGTGTTTCTACTATTATAAGAATGTTGATCTTTTGTATATAGTTAAAAATTCAGTCAGTTTTTGAGATAGTAAGTATTTTTGCATTTGCAGTTGCAAAGTATAAGGTATTATCATGTCTAAAAACGAGGTGTTACATTATTCACTTTCAAAATTTCCCTTTTAAGATCCTATCGCATAAATGACGCCACGTGTGTGCACTTCATAAACAAGATGTTTTCTTAAAATCATCACCAAAAAGTTTGAAAAGTTTAAAAATAAAATTTTACCGATAATATCAGTTCCTTAATCTTGTGTTTAATTTTAATTTCCACTTATTTACAAAAATTGGCTGGTTTTAAGTATGAACATATCATTTCCACGGTTATTTAATTGGTCCTCTCAGTCTTCCTCATTGTCCGAACATTCCATATACTCATATTAATTGTTGCTAGAACTGGCATCGGTTTTGTGACTTCTTAAGAATATCGGCTTTCACCGTAAGGCATCATAATTATTAGTGTTGTTGTATTCTACGTGATGGGTTTGCTGACCACATCTCCAACTCACCTCCTTTACCTGGTCTTGGGACCGACGGTAACTTTAGAAGAGCTACAGCAACATGTTGCTCAAGGATATTTCGGCAGATGTTTAATAAAATAAATATATTCCGTTTGTGTAGTTATATTCTTCCTGCATCCTGTTCTAAAGTATGAACGTATTTATTCACTATTCGTTTATCAGTTTGATTAGTTATTTCTTCTTAGTGTTATTGTGACAAATACGTTTTTGTGATTCGTTTATATCAGTACCTAAAAATGACATCCATATTTAATTAGATGAGTAATCTATCTGATATACTGAGGTTCTTTTTGGGATTGTATTTTTTATCCAAATAATTAGAGTCCCATTAAATCAAGCCGTCCCATATTTTATCAGGTAATCTTTTTTTATAAGCTTCGGTCTAGTCAGAGTCAGTTACTACCCCATTTGCCAAGTTTGTATATGACAGAAAACTGTAAGATATCAGGAAAATACTCATTATTTAGTTTAGGTGTCTATACAAATCTCCAGTAACAAAAGTGCAGTTTTATCTTTAATTTTAAACATGTTTCACATAACAATTAGTGCAGATGGTTCTAAGCAATATAGTTATTCTATATTGTTGTTCATTCATTTTCGATTGTTCATTATGCACGGTATCCATCATTTTCGGGTATTTTATCTTTCATTTAATAGGTGAATACTGCATATAAGAGTGATTTTTCTGAAGATTTCATTTTCATCATATTAAGTTAACGAAATCTATCTGGCGTGAACATATAAGTATGGTGTATCCCAACATGCCGCCTTACACAAGATATAAATATTGAATGAAATCTTTAGTAAAACTTACGCTCGCATGTCCAGCATTCGACCAATAAATAGACAAAAAGGTCCAAAAGTACATTATGCCGCACTTATTTAACTTTGAAAAACGGATGGATAATCTCATACGGCAAAGATGATTCATTGACTTTTAGCAATGAAAAACTCGAATAAATGCTTAACCAATACAACGAAAAGATGAAATTTGGAAGTATGTGATACGATGTAATACATTTTAAACAAAAGTGTTTAGCCATTTGTGTCAAACATAAAAAGGTCAAACTAAAAATATTGAAACGTAGCAACAACACTGATAATAACATAAACCCTTATATGGCTTCACTTCAGTCTATTGCAAAAACAAAGCCTTTACAGGAGGGATGTGATAGTCTGGGCGATTGTAGACAGATCACATTCTGTCTCAAGGCCACATAATAGGTGAACATGTCAGTGTAAGAGAACTGTTCATCCTACCTTGATCACAGCTTACATATCTCTGTCTGGGTCAGGGAAGATACGTGTCTGTAACACATGAGTTATGAACACTGATTCAATTTTGGGTGTAAAGCTTTCTGTACATTCTTAGTCTTGTACTATCACATAGCTAGTTGTGTCAAGCGTTTGAAAAAGTTTAATGTGGCTGAATTGAACCGACTGATCATAAACATATGGAGATAGATATGAGAAAAATTAGTGTTATAATCTCCCGGTCAAATTCACTTACAATACACACTTCCTAGCGTTCAACTCAACAAGCTTTGAGATTAGACGATTAAGAATCTGCAGGAATCTTTCATGCTAAAACAAACCCAGAGTGTTTATAGCTCATGGGTATATATAAGCAACTTTGCTAGTAAATATATGAACCAAATCACGAAATTCGTTGATGAAGTAGTCCTGATAATAATTACAATATTATTATCAAGCTTATTTAATGTGTAAATCATTCGCCAATATTTGTGACGTTCTTTTAAATTAACTATACTGTTAAAGACAATATTTATGTTACATTTGTCTTATTAAGTAATCGGATATACGATGATTGTTGTTTATTACGTTATCTAGTATTTACACTATCATTGTAATTCTTATCACCATCATTACTATATTTCTTGCTACACGAATAATAATTGATTTTTTTAGAACTCTTGAAGGTATATCTACCAATCAGTGAGTTTATCACTTAATGAATGTGTATGTTTATGCTGATACTCAATTTGAATTTATAAATGGTTTGATTGTAGAGTAGTAATTATTATTACTATGATATTCACTGTTAATAACTATTTGAAGATAATATTTAATGAGTAAATAGATGGAAATTTAGAAAACAAACATTATTTTAAAATATTATTATTGAAAATCCATGTACATTTATTGATAGTGCGATACAATTTCATTCATATGTAGATTCATGGATCTTATTTATAGATATTGTTTTCATACCTGACATTATTTGTCAGTTGGTAGATTGAATCCCCAAAAAATATACTCTAAGGCAGATGATATTCACACATTATTTTCACCATATCTTAACTATGCCATATTTTAACAATTCATAATAACTTCAGTTGTTCATTAGTTTTTTGAAACGATTGTTCTTAATTTTCTATCTGATCTTTAACTGAGGATGATTATACAGTAATGTTGACAGATTTTACAAGTGATTAATACTTTGGGAAGTTTAAGATACTTTCATAGTTTATAAATAAATATATTGCTCTTTGAAGAAAGCTTTTGGTTAAAAAATATTTAGAAAAACATGGATCAATCTCGTAATGAATCATTCATCAAATTTTATGTCATTAAAACAAGATGAAATTATATCGTAATGTTCTTCCAGTTTTTTTTTAAAATTGTACTTTATTAGTTCGAAATAATCATTAAAAGTAGACGAAATAGAAATGACTGTTGTGTAGGGATAGTTTAAAACATATAACTATTGTTCCTACTTTGATTGCACCTATGTACAATCAATCGATTCACTTAATAGTGTTTAGACAAAACAAACTTTTCCTTCACATATATATATACGTACGAATGTCTTGTCATATGTAACAGTATTCACATAAGAATCTTTCTCTCCCCTTGATCCCTACCTCACCACCTCTTGGTAAAGATAAACCATTAAGTGATTTATGAAATAATAGTGAAGATTGGATAGGCAGATAAAAGATGTTGAGAAAATTCTAACCACAAAGCTTACTTATTATGAAACTGTATTTGTTATACTATAGTTTAAGTTATATTCACTAAACAGTGAAAACAAAATCTGACCGAACAAAGCTGAGAGACAAAGGTTTTATTGATTGTCATCAATTTTAATTTATGCATTTCGAAATATGTCCTGCTATAGAAGGGATTAGATTGCTTCATAAATAAATTCATTGAAGTTTTTTTTACTTCCCTCCTCTTTCTGCTTGCCTCTACGTTTATACAAACCATTCACGATGTATTGCATGTATGCATTCGTGTCAGTTCACCTATGTGTTTTTTAGTGTTATAAAACAATACTATTGTATATATTTAAATATTCACTCTGTAATTATTAAGTTTATTTTCTATATGAATAGATTTTTGCATAAATATCAAATAAGTACCTTGGTTTAGTATCTTAAATTAGCTTCTTCAAACAACAGCTTCGTTTACTATCATATAGTTAATTAATATTACATTGATCTGATAGCTCTTTTTCAAAAATAAATTTTAACAGATGGTCTGAGAGAACAACAAAACTCACACGACTATAAGCCGATTTTTTCAAATGGATACAACTATAAAGTGACTATTCACAGTGAAACGACCAAATAGCATACTGATATGTAGTCGATATCTATTAATTGAGTCAAAACACTTTAAGTCTATGTTGTACCAAGTGAAACTAACCGATAAATGGTTTCATGAAAATCGAAAAGTATAGTAACTAATAACTATAATGAGCTACGCCCATTTGTTGAAATTTGATATTGGACAAAAGACCTAATTTGACACACCTTTATAGTGTCGAAGGTAATTTCGGATAAATGTTCCCATATTTATTCTCCGTGTGTGGTGGAGTACTAGTGACACATAGAATACAATTTTGTACAAAATATTAAGTGGTTTCATGTTTTATCGGCTAGTTGTTAGATGATTAAATATGAACAACAGACTAATCTAAAATACAGTGTATTATTGGTGAGAGTCTATTTTTGCCTGAATTGTTTCAGTAAATATAAGTGAAACGTCTTACAATCAATGAGGAATGTTTAAAGATCAGAAAGAATTTCGATGAATTTTATTTACAAAACTGCTTTTTAAGATATTTACACGTTTACCAGTAGATCAGGGTAATTAGTAAAAACTGACTTTAATATCGAAAGTCTGGTTGATAAACCGTGATCTGGTGCTACCAAGAATGGCCAAATCGTTTAAATCCTGATATGTATTTGGTGCTACATTTTTCGAATCAACATGTTTGGTCTTTATTCATTTCGTCGTTATTTTCAGTAATACCTTTCTGAATATTAATAATGATTCTATACGTCATTAATTTACCTAAGTTATTGAATGGTGATTTCAGTCTAGATTAGTGAGTTCAATTATTTCAGTGGACGATATAAACTTCCTATTCTAAACAAACAGAACAATTGTTTTATTCCTAAAACTTAGGGTTTACATCATGGATTGATTTTCGTCTGGCACCCATCAAAAAGTAGGAAGCGCTGGAGGTCCGCCTAGTTCTAGTATGGACCCTCTATTTCATCTCGACACTTGGAAATGTCAAACAACATATTATAATAGTTAAATAATAAACATAAAATATAACATTATTTCATCTTTTTATTATTGTTTAATTCTATTTTGTTCATCGATTAATTTCGTTCTATTTAGATTTATTTTATAAAAAGATTTGACTAATGATTCACATTTGTTCCTTAATTTCTGTTTTATCGAGCCTATTCTCTATTGATTTGTTACTTCTTTACCGTTACTATTATTATTATTATTATTATTATTATTATTATTATTATTATTATTATTATATGTCCTAATCCCTATTTGCCTGTAAGTTTCTACCAACTTTTTTTCATCATATCCTACAAGATGACATTTTTTGTCTTTTCAAATTTAACTCAAGGCTAAATTATAAAGGAACATTTTCGTTTGTTATTTCGATAATCTAATCGACAAATGAATCACATTGCGAAATTTCAAATTTTTATATCGGTAAATATTTATTTATTGAACTGAAATTTTTTTGAATATGTAGAAACTTGTAGATCGATTTCATCATGAACTAATATCAATTGGAAATCAAAGAGTGAAGACCTAAATTTTGAATCTACATCGATTCGCGAATCTCTTAGATTTCACGGTGACTATGATCCTTTTAAACTACTAAGTAAGAACCTACTGATTAAGATCTCTAGTCAATTTTCGACAACTCGTGACGATTAATTACGTCATCCATCAATAACTTTCGAATTCATAAATTTCTTGAATTGTTAAAGTAGGTGTTGAGTAGATCTAAATTAACATTTTACAGTTGCTTAGTTATCTTTTAATGGATCTACACTTAATCTTAATTAGGGATTGAGGTAATTTTAGAATATTCTAGACAAGTAAAACGATTACAAAACATTTTAATGATGTTTTAGATTATAACAATACTCCGGAACACCTAGACTTTGATGCAGTGACCCAGAGCAGTTCAGTTTATTGATCTTTAACCAAATAAATCAACAATACTTATTTTTCATCTTATTGACAGTCTTAAAGAAGCCTATCAAAATTTATGACGATTTGATTAAGATGTAATCAATGGTACCGGATTTATTTACCTTTCTTAAATCTCAATCAGTTATTATTATTTTATAACACTCCTATGGATGAAATTCATATTGCTGTTATTAGAGAGAATCCATTTCATCTTAAATGAGTTGCCACTAAAATAGCCTATTTGTTCTTTAGATAAATCATAAACCTATGATAATAATCTGTGCTTACATCATGGATTGATTATCTCGTTAAGTATAGGTCTAATTTATCCAATCGTTGTGAAATTGATTATGTACATGAAATTTTTCAAATATATCGATATCATTTGATTTTTCAGACGTCAACTTCAATTGTCCTAAGAGTTTGTAAACTCTTGTTGAAATTGTATATATGTGGAATTTTGATTTTTGTTATAGTTCAGAACTTATTCCTTATTTATTAACATAAGTTCATTTATAATGAATCCAGTTTATTGCTATATTGAACAATAAATTAATTTTACATCGTTTTTTATCGAAAATAATTTTCTGTCTTCGCTTTTTGTAAATCTTTTTTCGTGATATGTGGTCTTGTACATTTTTTCTTGTTGAATTTTCAATTGATCTAAACTCGTTTGCATAGTTTTTTTACTGTTGCTAGGTCGAATTCGCTAAAGTGTGAAGGAATAATGTAGTCTCATATCTTACAGGTGTATCCAATACATGATATTGTCTTAGAACCAACAATCAGTCACGATAGAATGGTCACATTTTCTGATTTCGTATCAGGTCACTACTTTTCATATACAGTAAAAGGTGGTCTGAGTCAAATATAATTCGTTTATCTTTGGGATTACAAGCGAGACTCCTTGCGTATTTATTATTTAAAACTACGAACCAAACACATAAAGAGTATAAGCTTAGAAAATGGACTACTGAATTTTGTTTGGCTAGCAAATTTTTTTAAAAAGAACACTGTGATCGGAAACCATGAATATAAAAATTACCAAGATCTCAGCATTGTCTTATTATTGACTTCGATGCTTTTAAGCTATGACTAAAGTACTGATATAATTGTGAACAAAAATACAATTAAAAACAATTTAAATGACGTATATGATAGCTAAAAATATCTTTTTACCTTTGTTGAACACACGAAATACAAGTATAGAAGAACTTGAATCTGCTTTTTAGCTAATTTGTTTTTCGCATACGCACATCATTTTTCATACAACAGATTATATCGATAAAACGTTAACTTAGAAAATAATAACTTGTAATAATACTAATCAGTTTAAATCTTCCTTACATTAATATGTTGAGGGTTATTTTATTACTTAAAGTTAAATAAATGATATACAATAGTAATAACTAACAAACTGTAGCGTACAAATCAAAGTTAAAATTGTAACAGAGTTAGAAATCTAGTCTTAAATGTCAATCACGGTCTTCTTATGTTGGGATGTAATATGGTTGATTGATTTGACATTCTTGTAGAACTGAATACCTGAAGTCTACTAACTGAATACTTAAAAAACTGGATTCGTTCTTCCTTAAGTTGGTCGGTAAATGTTTATCTGGAATCATACACAAACTCATCATTTCTCAGAAATCCCCACTTATATCATCAAGCCTTCAAATTACAATAAGGATATTTTATTCTTTTCATTTAATATTATTTACTATTAATGGTGAAGATTTGTTATTCATCTTAATTTTAAAAAAGTTATTTCTTATACTTGTCTCCATAGTTATTCGATTAGTATTTTTAACATATTATTGATGTTCTATTATGTAGATAAAGGTTCATAAACTGGTCACCAATTTACATTGTTGACATACAAGAATATTTCATTCCTTATGATCTAATTATTTCTTCTTCATATCTCCTATTCTTATTGCTGTTGCTTATCCTAGAAAGCATGACAAACCAGCATGTGATAGACCTGGAAATAAATGTCAAGATGATTCATTCTTTATTTATTGTTCTTTCCGTCATTATTACTATTATTCTCTTATTGTATTAAATAACTATCTAGAAATGTTTCAAATGTCGTGTTATATTCACTTTCCATCTATCCACCCTCTAGAAAAAAAAATAATTTTCTCTTATGTTTACGTACTACTATTTTATGTTTCTTACTTAAGCTGTTTTGAACAGAATTATATACTGACCAATAATAAATCACCACTGAAAACCTACGAGTAGTGGACGGCCGTTTCGTTCTAGCATGAGACTCCTCAGCAATGCAAACGAATCCCGCACGCGGAACTCAAATGCAGGACCCTCGATCTCGCACGAACGCTTAAACTCTAGACCATTGAGTTGGGATCCAACAGTGGTAATATCTAACTTCAACCAATCCACGATGTTACGCAAACACATCCCATTGATGAAACGGCTGTCCGGTGCTTCCAGCTTTTCAGTGGTGGTCTAACAATAGTCGTTTCATGACCTCAATTAAAACTTAACAATCTCCACAATCCTATACGGAGAACTATACAAACTTACAGTGAATTCTCATTGTTACGTGTTGTCTAAACTATTACGGTATAATTGTTATGAAAGTTTTGACAGTTTCAGTTGTGTTATATATATACTGAAGGTTGCTATTATATACATGTATACTTTCCGATAAATGAATGGAAGATTGTTACGCAACAATAATAATAACCTTAAGTAAGCTTTTGTAACAGATAGGAATTACTCGAAAAGCTATCTAAAACCAAATATTCTTCATATATTTACTAATAATTGGCGTTGAAATCAAATTCTTAAATTCTGGTGATTAGTTTTACTTACTGAAGTTCAACCATGTCTAGCAGAAAGCGGTTATTCATAAGTGGTGTCAGATGATTTACTTGATCAAACCTGAAATCTTTACTCAGCGAATCAAATAAATAGTTTTCGCGAAATATTAGGATTCTGGGTTCAATTTTGTGCACAGTTTTGTGTGCTCATTAATAATGAGTCCTAAGAGCAAACCAAAACAATTACCTAATCCTTATTTCCTTTATGTTGTCCTCCAGCTTAGGTCATATGTGATGAAAATCTTCAAGAATTAGTCAACCATTTAAATTCTAAGAATCTGTAAAATATTTCACACTCATCAAATTACTATTTTTATGGCTTCTTATTATTGCTATCATCAACATTATTTAAATTGTTTACTATGGTTACATGTTTTATTCAAAATTGTATTGTGTCTTCACAACGTTTGTATATCTGAGACATATTTTATGACGTAAAACAATAAAACACATCAAGTAGTTAAGCATAAACAATACTATCGATTAGAATTTCAACTGATTTATCAACTATAATTTATTATTGACATTTTAATAAAATAAACTTTAGATGATCTATGATATTTTTTGAATTGTCTAGTCTTGAAACTTCAATATTGATAAGTTAGAGATCAACTATCCATGTCAATAAAAGTCAATGTTAGAATCGTAATCAAATAATTTCTCTAACAAATCGAAATACTTTATACGAATATTCGTCAAGATTAGAACGAATAGTTTGACAGTAATTGAGCGCCGAAATACTGTTTATACCACCACCAATTAAGGATATTTGCTACATCTGCAAATGAATGATAGAGTTTCATAGAAGGAAATAGTTGAAAAAGGTTTTAGTCAAGATAAAAAAGAGCTATAAACCTATTTTTTTACATATCATGGAGACAGAAACTATTGGTTCGGAAATTTTACGGTAATTCCCGCGCTAAATCTACGTTCGAAAATTGATTTTATTTATTTTTAATAGTTTACTTATCTTTCAAAATACTATTCACATTAGTAATTGTTTGTCAATGTGTTCCACTCGGTATAATTTCTGAATATGTTTCTGTATTAATGATGAAATGATAAGCTGGAAAATAGATTTTCATGTTTAACACATATTCCACTCTCGTTGTGTGCATATTATAGACATGAAAAGAAAGTGGCTATTACGAAAGATATTTTCGTCAGTTGAGTTCTTCAGTTTTAACTTCCGTCCACTTTCTATTCTAGTTCGAGTCACGCTAAGATGTATGTGTTTCCGTAACAAGTACTCTCCCTTCAGTTTATTAATGTTGTGTTGCGTAATATACGCTGTTTAGCTTTTGCCAAACCTCTCGAGAAGATAGTTTTATGATGGCTCTCATAATGTAAATAGGAAGTGTTAATCATCATGACTATTACTGTAGTCAAATATCTTGTTAATGCCCATTCACGACTTCGGAGTTCTACATATATATATATATATATATATATATATATATATATATATATATATATGGCTTATGCAATGTAACTTCCTCCTGCTAACTAGCTAAGCATACAGACGACTATTTTGACTTTAAAATCTTGAACATTTATATTTTAATTGATTTGAAAAGCTCAAACGGAAAAAACGTAAACTTTTATTTATTAGGCATTATTTAAGAGTCAGTTTATGTCATAATCTTTTTTTAAAGAATCTATCGAGTACTGTTTGAACTGGATTTAATGTCGTTTAAATTATAATTAAAGTTCTATAATTTGTAGGCATTTTGTTAAAGAAAGTTATGAACAATTCTTAACCATAAGTTTTGATGAAAGTCGGAACAAAATTGAAATTAACCAAAATTTATAGTGACGCAAGGACAAAACACAAATAATATTAAGTTAAATTACATGTTGCTAAGCTGTCCGGCCAGAGTTTGAATTACAATTATCTCTTAATGATTCGATAGGAGGCAGGATACTTAAATCCATATAAATATGATCAAAATTATGAGAACTCATGAACTGTTTAAATGTTCACTCAGAGGTGGAGCATAACAAAGTGTGTTTCGTAAATTTTGGTTTCCGGTGAAAAAGTTTTCTGTAACTCAAGGTTGAATATTTATTTTGATCTCACGTAGATAAAGGATCTACCATGCTAAACTACTATGGTATTATCAAAAAAGGGTTTTATTTTAATTTTTTGGGACTGTAGTCTATCATTAGTAGTTGAACTAATTTGATAGATTTCTGAATTGTGAACGTTTGATATGATATTATGTAAGTCAAAAGGTTGTTGTTAAAATTTACTGTTCTGTGTCAAAAACGAACTCTGTCTTACAATAATCATTCAATTGTTTTTCTATACAAAGCCAAAGTAGATTTTTTATTAATGTAAGACGGGAAGATTTCATAGTCTGTGGACGAAAGCTAATTTTTGGCTTTACAAATAAATAGCATTTGGGTTCGTTGAGTTAATAGGTCATCGTTATGGCATTAGACTTTTTCAAAAGCTAAATTACTGATTATTAAGACTGAGATTCATAGGTGACTTTATGTAACCTTGTAAATGTGTGTTGTAAGATAAAATGAGTGTTTAATAATCCTTAATATAAATTTATAATGAAACACTTGACAGATATCTTTATTGACAATCAGTATTATTTAATTCTAACCATACTACATATGAATGGACATTAACATTCGAAGTGACTTTACTTGTTACTAATGTTAATTCAGTGTATTATGAATATACACTCAATAAATTTTTAGCAATAATATTTCTACGTTAATATATATCCGTTTTTAATACCAGTTGTATTATGAAATTCTTTTTTTTTTCACAAAATATAGGCATAGAATTTTTCGTCGACGTAGTATTAGTCGGCTAAGCTGTACAAACGGTATAATGCAACGTAGTATTACATCAACTAATGCAATCAATGGAAGTTGTTTATCGTTGACAAGTTCATCAGAATCTCAAACCAAATCATCTACGGATAATAATAGTAATAAGCATGTAAAAATGAATGGAAATGTATTTAATATGAATGAAAACAAAAATACTGTCGTAGCATCTATTACTAAAACTGATGTTATTCGCGATGCTGAATCATTGAATCTAACCATTAAGGATATCGATTTAACACTGAATAATCCAATTGGATTGACACCGAGACGCGAGAAACGTCGAATCCTAACAGTTACCGGTGATTTAATGAATTCTAATCGTCTAACACGTGTATTTACACGTGGTCATAAGGCATCAGTAGATGTTACTGAACAGTCAAATAAATTACTACCAAATACACAAGTATCCAAACAATTATCAGTAATGGGATTGAATATTAATAATCATGGCATTAATGTTAACAGCTCCAATGATAATTCAGATTGGTCATCTGATGTTGAAGATAAGTCAAGTACTTTAGTTAGAAAAACAACTGAGAAAAGTTCAGACAATTCTTCTACATTAAAACAATTAAATTCATTAGATTGTAGAAAAACTACTCCACCTAGACAAGTTGTTCAGGTTAGTTTTTTATTATTCAAGATTATTATATTATTGTTGTTAACATATTTTTGTCGTTATTTCTTTAATATCAACATTTTGGCCTTAAGTATCATATTTACATTAAGTATAAATGTTTATAGACTGAAATTTGAGTTAACGAATTCCATAAAATAAATACTTCCTTCTGAAGTAAAATTCAACTTAAAATCCTTGAGATATCATCAAATAGATGTTAGTATCCAATCCTTAGAATGAAATATATTGTTATACATTTCTATATTTTTATTTAATTCATGATATTGATATAATCTGAATAATGTGTATCCAGTTCTTATCGGTCTAATCTATTTGTGGACAGTCGTCGTCATTGTCTGTGATTATGTATGAGAAGTTTCAAACCAGAGTGCACCAATCACTTCATTGTTTTCTCAGCATTTTTTGTATACAAACATTGTTAGTTCTAATAAAAATTTTGGTTCTATCTTATCAAGTTTTCTAGCATCACGTGAGCTTCAATTCTTTAGAATAAAACTTTGATTATTTTCAAAATATGTGGGTATTTTTATCCATAAAACTACTCCCTAGAAATTCTCTCGTTTACTCTTGTACATTTGTTTTATTTACTGTTTATTGTGATTCTACATGCAAAAGATGAAAGAAACAAACAGTGCTACTAATAGGGAACGTTTGATTAGAAAGAAACCTATCAAATAAAAGTCTTCAATTTTTCTAGAGTTCTGAAACACTATCCACTATACATACACTATACGTACAAAAAACGTTTGCTCGAATTCTTTTCTTATCCTGGTTTGTATTTCTCGGTTTATAACTTCTCTTCCTCTCTTATTTTTCTGTTAACTTCATATTTCCAGTAAACTCATGTTTACTTGTCTACTATTTTTGTATTTTAGTTAAAGAACATCATGGAATCTACTTATTGACATTTGCCTTGTTTCTCTATCGTTTCTTAACAGTGATTCTGCATTTACTTCATATTAGGAAAAATATTTTCATAATTTAGTACCATAGACATTGTTACGTCACTGCATAATTTTTCTAATAACATCAATAAAGGTGCTGTTTGTGCGATTGACTTCAGTTGTTTCCAATTAATTTGTAGTCACCTAACTTTAAAATACCGGCTTCGATGATTATTCATAAATCACCAAGCCTTCTGGGTAGATAATATATGTATTAATACATTCGAACTGGGTTGATTTTTAGTCAAGACAAGCAAATGTATTCGTAATACTTTCTTCCTTTGATTTTATTTTAACAAATAATCTTGAAAAGTGCAGTATGTTAACGCAGTGCAACTTGTTACCAGTTCTTCAAGTTCGTTATATTGCCTAATGTTCTGAACTTGTCAAAATTTTCTGAAAATAACTAGCCCATTTTATTAAATTTCGATGAATAGGGAGTATCGCTTTTAATTATTTATGAGTAATAAAAAAGAGATCTTTGTTATTTTCTCTGAGATAAAAAAAAATAAAAAATACAAATAAAACTTTTTTACATAATTGTATTCGTCCATTTATAAATTTATTGGTGTAATGGTGAATTCAACTCTGTTTATGATTAGTGAGAAGTGTAAACATGAGAGTGCTTATTTTGAGTGAGTGGATAAATCGTCTAACTAAGGTTACCCTTCACAAATCTCTGTCTGAACTAGTTTAGTAAAACATATATGCGCATGATTTATGAGTGTATTCAACCGATGATGAACATTAAAGTTTCCAACACACTCTTAGTCTTATTACTTTGGATAGATGATTGAATAAATGTTAGAAAATGTGTAGTTTGACTAAATCGAATTGAACGTCAAGTTAAAATGAGACATCTACCACTTATGGCATTGTATAATCATATTGCTGTATTGCAAATTGGATGAGCTTCAAAATGTTAACCATCTGATTCCATTTTAGTTGTATTAAAACAATGTTTTTTCACGACACTTAAAAGTGTTGATCTTAACCCAGTATGGTTGGTTATAAGCGCATTCCACAGAACGGATTCTGTATCGCTTGTTTGGCATTAGTTCTTCAATGGATATCAATTTGTTATACAAAGTGATTTATTTTTAAAAAAAAAAGTTGGATAATTTATTTAGTACGAAAACACATGGATGTTATATTTTTTCCTTAGGTTTTCTTCTAAAATGTTATTTTATTTAATTAGTTAGTTACCAATTGTTTTATAACAACAAGTTGAATTTGGCATAAGTTAATTAATTATTATTAAGTTTTTCCTGTTAATTTCACAGAATATTCAGCTGTTATTAATCAAAATTATATGCAGGTAAATAATGAATGTTTGTATAGTTTTCTTCAAATGAATTAGATTTTTATCTCACATTTTATTTACATTCATTATTACTGATAACAACTATCTTATTTAACTAAATAATAATTTAAAACAATTTTGTTAGTATTTTCATTATAAAACAAATTCATTTAGTAATACAATATATTTTCTTTTCTGATAAATTACTTAAACGCATACTTTACAAACTTTTATTGAAATAAATATCAGAAATCTTTGCTTGGTGATATTTTTACATAAACAAATAATCATTTCATTTTTGATAATGCAACTAGAAGACGAAGATTATCAGAACTATGTGATATATTAGCGCGATACATTTCGAAACAATCTGATCACATATATACTTGTTAACCGTTTTGTTTTATATATAAATGCTCTTAACAAGTAAATGTGTGATCAGATTGTTTCGAAATGTATTGCGCTAATATATCACATAGTTCTGATAATCTTCGTCTTCTTATAACATTATCGAAATTTATCAAAGGGACTAATTTTTTTAAAATCATTTCATTATTTTAACACTACTGAAATAAATATGGTTTATATTACTATAAATGTTTAAACAAATAAAATATCTTTCGGTGAAAAACAATTGATGGTTGCTTCAATTGCATATATGAAAGGTTTTAAAAAATGATTCAGATAATTAATCATGTATATATATAGAATTTGTGCGATTGTCTTTCTTTTTCATATAGTTATTGTTGATGTTTAACTTATCATATTCTTTAATAATTACTCCTAAATGCGTATATTAGTCCAAAGTGAAACTCATTACCTTTAATTTATATAATTGAGAAGTATCTCTAACTCTTAGATTGAACGCTAATAAATAAACAAGTTTTCTATTACCTAATTTGTTCCGAGAAATATTGATAATACTTATGGATTATTACCACTTAGTTGCATGCCAATCTGTGAAAAGTTATAACTAAGTGAGCTTATCCTTATAATATTAAAATAAATAGATAGTAGTCGTGTGAATCAATCAGTAGAAGGTCTACTAGACTCTATACACCACTGACCTGTATTTAATGATGATTTTTGAAAGTTATGTACAATTTCCAACAAAGACCACCATGTTTTTGTTTGATACAAGAATTAATTTGCCGAAATTTGCATTCAGTAAATCTACTTGTTGATATTTTTCTCTTATCACCTAAAAATTTTCGTTACTATGTATAAAATTCATCTTGTTGGATCAGTTTTGTCATTCCTTATCTTGCTACTTATATAAACTCATAAACTGTGACTCATAATCAACTTTCAGTAAAATTAACATGAGCATATTTTTGTATTATAATATTTGATCATCCATTTCTTTGAGTTAGCATTTCATTTTTACTCAGTCTTCTCATTTAATCATTAACAATGTAGGACAAGTCATAAATGCTTATTGTTTCAAATTGCCATACTTCACATCATCATAGTAAGAGGAAACTAACAAAATTAAAAATAAACGAGTTAATATAATTATAAATTTGGTGGACTAACAAAGAGAATACATAGTTTACATTTGACTCATCATTAGTGAGTAGCAGATCACACGTTTCATAGATATAACTCTCTCATGTCAATATTATAGAAATTCTTGTGCTAGATTGTTATTTCAATTTTCTTAAATGGTTTTAGAGAAAGTATCTCTTCAAATATATGTTGAAATCGTTCTTTATTTATTTATTCATCTGTTAAAGTGATATCATGAAAATCGCATATTTCATATTTATATTTCTTAATTCAATTTATGATTTCCATCAAAACATAGAACGAATATTTCGGAGCAGAAACTTTTTTATAGTTCTATTTCAAATGTTTTACGATTGTATTTCCCTGAAACACTATTATGACAACTTTACTTGTTAGTATAAAAGGCTTACAATTAATGAAGTTCATTAAATGAATTTAACACTAACGGATTCAATAAAGGAATCATCAGCTTGTGAAGAGGACATAAGAAGTTTGAGTGAATAAAGAATTGATATTACAAGTACATTAAACAAAAGTGACTAAATACAAGAAAAGATTCAAATTAAGGATGATGAGTTTATCAAAGCTATGAAATAAATAAAACTTGTGTACTAAAGTTAATAACATTAGAGTGTAATTAACTGATGAGGATAGGATTTTATTCTATTCAAAAATAATGAAAGGATAAAACAATTATGTAAGATAACTATAAAAGCATAACTTTTTACAGATTGGTTAATAAATAGTTTGCCTAGTTCTATAATCATCAGTTCCTTTAAAATTACAAATACACCTTGCTGACATGTTCCCCTTAGCATGTATAATCAGGTTTGTGACTTTCTGTAGATTTTGAGCTCGGGTATCTAACGTTACAGTATTAGTTGGTTTTGTCGATTACTTAACTGGGGCCACTATGAAGGGAAATATTTCCATTGTAAGAGGTCGTACAGATGTTCTTCTGTCTGCACGACTTTTTATAGTGTGAATAACAAGCTTTCTAAATCATCCTATTACTTCGTATCTAGTACCTTATTCAATGTAAAACTTTATATCCATTTTCTTTACCGTAAACAGGACTGACCTATTTTTGTCATAATCTGGCATTGAAATTAAAAATATCTAAACTCTCCGAACATACACTCACCAATCTACTGTTTTTATTAATATATGCATCGCGATTTTCGTAGTTTATGAAAACTGTCTTTAAAATTGGTATGGGTTCATATTAATATAAATCTTTTATTTGATACATTGCTTATTGTTCTTTTTCTCAATAACACTATATTTTTCAATATTAAATATTTATTTAGCCTCACGAAGCTCCACTTCTTGATCCTTTCAATTCTGATTGTGGCAGGCCTCGTTTACGGATTCTTCTAGGACAAACAAATCGTTTAAATTGTCTAACTGGAACATCTTCGGCATCAACTACGAAGAGTAATCCCAATACCGCATTCAAAAATATCTCAGATCATAAAAATAATTTAGCTAGTCGTCAGTCTCTAGCAAAATCCTGTATAACATCTACATTTACCGCTACAAGTCTTGTATCAAAAGGAAGTACGAATTCCATTAATAGTATCTCTTCTTCGTATATAGTTCCAATTAGTAAAACAGATTTTTAAAATCTACCCATAATTATTTTCAATAAATTCTAAGAAACAGTATTTCTTTCATTGTATTTTTTCTCCCATGTGATTTATTCTTTTTTTTTAGATATTTTTTGTGTTTCATTACATTATCAATAATGTTGATAGCTAAGTTACTGTATTGATTCTGTTATTTTAGCCTGAACTTTCATTCGTTCAGTAGTAAATATTTTTATGTTAAGGTGGTCTTAATTCTGGTTACCAAATTTTGTTAGTTTGTAATTGTACAGAATCAATATAGAAAAACTCAATGCATAATTCAGTCCAATCGTCCTACATTATGTACTTAAAAATCAATAGTTTATGTAAATGACAAGAGAATTCAGCAATTGTCATCGGATTATTATTGTTATTATATTCAGAATCATGTCTCCAAAATTATCCGAATATGTATATAATATGAAAAATAGTATATTTATAATATGTATCTACACTACTTACAATAAAATGGGCTTTACCACATTAACTTTTTATTCATAATCAACAATGGATTGTTTTAATCATCATTATATTTCAATTTATTTATTAAATTCTGAATTTGTATAATATTGAACTCACTTGAATTATACTATGAAAATGTAAATGGATGATTTTTATTTCTATCTATAATTTAAATATAATTAAAATATCGGATTAATTGTTTGTATTTTAAATAGTGAATAATAAAACTTGTTCAATAAAGTTGAATTTCTACGGTTTTCTTTTTCACTTTTTTTCCAAATGTGAATTAGGAGACACTGTCAAAAAGAAAACAAATACTTTTGTTCCTGTTACTAAGGTTTCTTTCTTACAAAGTTAAGTAAACATGATATAGATGATTGTATAACGAAAACAATATGAAGACAATATACTAATTAAAAGTAGAGACTAGTTTAATGGTTACTCTAGTATCAAGTACCTTGATTTATGGAATGTTTGACTTTGAAAATTGAGTTTTAGATGTCCAGCAGGTTGCTCGTTTGCTAAAATACAATGGGATTTGTTTGAACTATGGTTAGATAGCTATCTTTCTAACATGTATATATCTAACAAACAACTTTAACTGAAGAGTTATTTTGTCAATCCTTTTATTTGTAATCTATTTTACTGTGGAATATGTTTAGTAGATTAAATAATCGATGGTACTTCATGCATAATGTTGATAATGATGGTTATGTTAGGATTTAAACAACTGTAACTTTGTTTTTAATCTTTCTGAGAAATATGAGTTTTATTACATTTGATATAGTAAATTAAAATAAATATGGTTATTCAAAGGAAATACCAATGATTATTATCACAACATACGAAACGAGTAGGCTATGAGCGTCAGTTCCTTATCGCCGGATTGTGACGGGTGATATTACTGCTAGGATGTTTTTATTCCAATCGGTAATCGTCCTTAATTTCCCATTTCTCAATTAAACATTCATATAAACAGTGTGGTAAACTAACAAATAATATTCAGAGAACTAGTCCGTAAAGCAATGTTCCGACATGGTTGCTTATAGAAGGGGTCTAGAAGTTGGGGGAAATTTTAACAACCTTGTTTCATTCAGAGTTTAACATTAAGCAACATTCTTGAAGAACTCACGTTTTGTCTGGTTGTTGATTGATTTGTTATTATCCTGTCTTTTGAAAATGTAGAGTACTTTGTTATATGGAGTATGCTCTGCAGATTATCTGGTTACATGAAATACGCTACTTTGTAAATACTTGTATTTGACTACAAAGTTCAGACAATCTGAAGGGAGATTAGTCAAAAAAGTTTGAGTGACTAAGTACTGTGAAACAACAAACTGATACGTCTTTGAGGTCACACCATGCTAGTAAATTACGAAACATTTTATGGAAGTTTCCAAAGTTTCCCATAACTCTTAAGTTTACAATTTGGTAAGGGGTGTTTATAACAGGTAGTTATCTTAAGTTTCCTAATCATGAAAGAAAGAGTAACAGCTTGCTTAAACTGAATTTTAATCATGAGCATTTGATGCTTAGGAATGATATCTTTTTAAAACTATTGGGACATCGCAGTGGTTTCGACCGGTTTTCCATCATTTCAGTCCCTAAATTTATTAGCATTTTTGAATTCAGATTTTCGTTAATGCTGCCCATATACGTAAACGTCTCCACCTCTTCTACAGGTTTCCCATCAAGTATGGTTGCGTTGGTATTAGCTGTGTTGCATTTAAGAATCTTACTTTCTCCCTTGTGTATGTTGAGGTCTCTTGCTATAGAGGCTGCTGCTACACTAACTATCTTCACCTGGATTTGTTGTTGTGTATGGGACAGAATAACTAGGCTATCTGTGAAGTCCAAATTGTTTGGTTGCATCCTAGCTGTTCACTATATTCCATGCCTTACCCTGAGAAACGGACATCTTTTTAATACAGTCGACCACGAGAAGAAATAAAAATGGAGAGAGTAAGCAGTCTTGTCTGATAGCGGTTTTCATTTGGAATGCATGACCTTGCACTGTAGTCAGTCGTACAAATTCCGAATGACGTCGAAGATCTTCCCTGGTACACCATGGTATTGACGAAGGTTCCATAATGTTCTCCCTTCCACATGATCATACGTTTTCTCATAACCAAGACAGTTTTTGTATAGTGATGAGTTCCGTTCAACCGACTGTTAAACAATGTTCCGTAGTCTCGCGATTTAGTCCATGTATGGCCGATGCTTACGGATCGCTTGATCCTATTGGTATCGATGTTTGACGTCTAATGGACTTGTTGTTCCGTACGCCATCATTCTGTTGAAAACATTTACTGTTACTGACAATAGTGTGATACTTTTGTAGTTCTCATATATGCTTGGATCTGCTTTGTTTGGTATCACGGTGAGGCATCAATCTTTTCAGTCCATCGGCACTTATTCTTCCTCCAAAATCTTCCTAAATAGTGTTAAGTATGTTTGTAACTACTTCTATATCTGACTTTAGTGATTCAGCTGTTATACTGCCAAGTTTTGCTGCTTTCTCACTCTTGATTTGTCTGATGGCCATCCTGATTTCTTCAATCGTTGTTGGGGTGACATCTATAGGAAGGCCTGTAGGCGCTGTTTCAACTTCCGGTGGATTCAATGTAACTGGTATGCCAATCAGTTCCTCATAGTGCTCTACACACACATTCCTCTGTTTTTGAATCTCAGTGACTGATTCCCTTTCTTTGTGCTTGACTAATCTATTTGGTTTACTATATTTCTCCGCACATTTTTTTTCGTGTCATATAGTTCCTTCATTACCCCTCTCTCGTAGTTTTTTCTGCTGTCGCTGCTAGCTATTCCACTTATTTCTGCTTGTTAGCTCTAATGCTTTTTCTCACTTACTTGTTTGTTTCTATGTATTCAGCTTGTGCTTTGACTTCCTCTGCTGTTCTTCGATTGTCGTTAATTGCTGTCAGCTTGTTCCTCCTTTCTTCAACCCTCCTCAGGGTTTAGATAGAGATCCATTCCTTGTCGCCGAGCACCTCCAAACACGTTGAAGTTAGTGCTTCCTTGATCGCTTTTCAGTTAGCCTCCATCGTAGTTTCTTCTTTCAGTAGGTCCTGTAAGGCCAGGAACCCGTTGTTGAGAGTTATCTTGAATTCGTTGAGTTTGTCAGTATCTCAAAGGAAAGATGTTTTGAACCCTTGTAATGCTGCCTCGTCAGCTGTCCATTGCTTCTTTACCTTAAGTTTTGTTTTCGCAACCACCAGGTGGTGATCCGAAGCCATATCAGCTCCACTTCTGGTTCTCACGTCTTACATTATCCGTCTGAAGTTTTTAGTGATGCAAATATGATCGATCTGACTCACTGTGGTATAATTTCTTTAGACCCATATAGCTTTGTGTATGCGTTTGTGTGGAAATATTTTGCCACTTATATCCAATCTGTTCAATGCAAATATGTTTGCAAATCTCTCCCCATTTTCGTTTCTCTCTCCCAGTCCATGTCATCTCATGGTGTTGTCCATCCTGACTTTGACGTTTAAGTCTCCGATCAGGATTGTTAGGTCGTTTCCTGTGCACTCCGCTACGACCAAACGCAAACTCTCATTAAACTGAGTTTTATCATCTTCATTGCTATTATTGGTTGGTGAGTAGAATTGGATAACATTCATTGTGCTTTCCTGTCTCTTTGTTTTGAAGGATGCTTTGATGATCCTAGGTCCATGGGATTCCCATCCTTTAAATTTATTACGTGCTTATTTGGACTGCATCAGAGCAACTCCATGAGTATGTGAAGCATTTTCCTCTTCGTGACCGGAGTACAGCAGCATTTATCCCGTATCTAGCCTTTGACGTCCAGCTCGAGTCCAATGGGTTTCTTTGATTCTGAGTATTGTCATGTCGTATCTCCTCATTTCCATAGCTATTTGACTAGCCATCCCAGTCTCCCATATTGTCTGGACATTCCATGTACCTATGTTAATTTTTACTTTGATTGTTATAAGCTGCATCGGTCTCATGACTTCCCACGAATAAAGGCTTTCACCATGAGGCACCACAATTATTCGGAATAAAGATCCTTAAACTCACAGGAAGGAGTTTAAGTGAATTAAATTGTTTATTCTGGTCAGCGTACCTTTAGTATTGTTGTTTTCTACTTGATGGGGTTGCTGACCACATCCCCAACTCACCTCCTTTACCGTGTTTTGAGAGTGGCAGTAACCACGAAAGGACTGCAGGCGGAGCTATTATGTTAAAACATATCCACGTTATAAAGGCTCAGTAGTATACAAAATTGTTCGGGACGTGGTCAATTACAATAAATCATCCTCCAGGTGTTAGCTGGATGACTTCTTATCACTGATCATGAAATCGAAACTGATAAAAAGACAGAATCAAGTCTGTCCACATTTATCACTTCTGTCTTTGAATCTGTTACATCCGCTTCGAGGCGCTTTTTCCGAGCACATTTTTAATGCGATTTTTGTAATAATCAAGCTTGTTACCGGAAATGAGTATCCTACTGTGACATCATTAGCATGCAAATGCGTATCTTTGCTAAAAAACTGGAAATATCATTGATATGAGCTATAAAGATTACCATTACTTAGTACATTTTTGTAGTCGATGAAAATATATATGATGGATTCATTTTATCCATTTGGTCGAGAATTAACATAGCACATGACGTTACACTATGTCCCAAAACTTCATCTAGTGGTGCTTGCAGTAAGTTCTGAAACGGTCAGGATCATTGTATAAAGTCTTCAGGCCAATTAGTTCGTAGGGATTATTTGCTACCTTGCTTTATCAATAGTCACTGCTATCATGTTCTCTGCTTAGTCTGAAGATGATGCGTATAAACAGTGTTCGACAGTGCTGTCGCCAATTAGGTCATTAGTCAATTTTAATGGGACAAATCGTTTCCCATGTAAAACGAGCTGGTAAGCAGCCGTAAAAGCTGCTCAGTACGAAGTGCTTAAACGTAGCCTAGTGAAGACATCTGATAGAGTGCCTCCCCTTGGGCTTGTCCAGTAAAACTAATAAGATCACTACCAATATCACTGACTTACGGAGATATTCATTTTTGAGGTTTATTCATCTTCGCGGCTCAGATTGGAGGAACACTACACCGAGTGTTCTTCATCTTATAATTGTGGTCTCTCGACAGTTCAATGAATTCCCGAAAAATTGAGGTCACCTATCATGAAATTAGGGATAAAGTTTGACGAGCGATGGGTCATAAAACTTTTGAGCAGATGCAATCTGTCCTTCCTACAACGTATATATATTGTATCCAAAATGGTTTCACAGAGCTGATTGCCTGTTAGCAGGTTCAGGTTTGATCAATAGTTGGTCATAATTTGGAACTCTCTGTCTCATACAATTAAACAGAGTTTTGATGGATGTTAAAAGAGGGTATTCGATTCAAGAGTTAGAATTTTTTTCACTCACCATATCGTGCGACACTATTGAAACCCAAGACTTGAAGTTGTGAACAGTTTTGAATCTGATCGGTACGTGTATGCGGCTCATCGTATATAACCTACTCAGGATTTCACGCTATGCAATCCTGGTTTTGATTGGTAAATCTTCTTGATATTGAGCTTTTCTTCTTTACAATTGCATTTGACTAATCTCGGTATCAAAATAAAAGTTCATGCTCCTTGCTAATTAATTTTCTGGCCCACTCTCTTTTACAGATTTCTCTACCTTCGCTCTTCGATATACTCTACCAGCAAACAATATAACTTCAGAATAAGCACACACTGCTCCACTTACAGTTCTCAAAGGAATGGGAGGGCTTCTATCCTCACCTAAAACTGACAAATACAATGAAACTGGTTGTGGCAATGGACTTCGATACGGGATCTCCAGCATGCAAGGCTGGCGTCTTTCAATGGAGGATTCTCACTGTGCCATAACACAACTTCCTGGGAATCTTAAGGATTGGTCGTTTTTTGCTGTTTTTGATGGCCATGCTGGTGCCTTGGTATCAGAACTCTGTGCCACAGAGCTGTTGAAGGTTTGTCGCCTATTTGCGTACTTTGTGACATTATATTGTTGTCCGGATTCGAATTCAGCCTAGGATTTGAGGTTCCGTAGACTATGATCACTATTTAAGTAACCAAAGTTTCAAGATGCTATCCTTTTTTGAAGATAAATTTTGATTTAGGTGCTTACCTAATAAAATTGTTCAATACCTGGTATGTATATTTGACTTGTAAACATGTTCGTTTCTGAAAAGCGATGAGAATTAGGGACTTTGCCACAACCCATCCACTTTTTCTATTCGAATTCTGTCCTCTGTAATGACATTGTTGATGGCTCGAATTCGCTTCATTACACATATTATCACCTATCCAATATTTCACACTTCTAAAACCCGTTGGTTCATCTTCGTGGATATGACAGCCTTGATGCTTGTCACCACCAGTTAACCTTTCCCTGGGTTAGGGATAGGGTAGTAGGTAAAGCTAACGAATCGATCGATGAAATAGCGAATCTTCAACTGAGATGTTTGGGGCATGTTTCGCGTATGCCCAATCACGCCTATTGTCTGGGGGAGTAGGTTGCAAGAATGTTAGGGGTGGTCAAACCTGGACATGGGACCAGTCTATGAAGTCATTGACAGTTGGACCTAGTCATGTTAATGGATGTAGACTACCTAGTTGAGTTCCACGTGATTATCGTAACCAATGGTTAAAGACTTCGAGTGAAATTGCCCAAAGTCGTTTCCAACGGTTCGGGTGCGTCCATCATTCGTCCTCTCCTAGATTTTAGGCTTCTGAATTCTTCATAACTTTCCTTTGTTTTCATTTCACAAACTTATATTTTCTCGAATCGTATCTTCGATGCTTAATCTTTCCTGTTACCATTGGTACTGTAGCTACCTTTACTATTCTGTGTTTTTGTTTGACGACTCCATCTCTGTGCTAATGAGGTATTTCAGCTTAAACCAGGCCCTACTTTGCGTATGACTGACCGACTCATCAAATTTCACTACAAAACGAGATATGCGTCTGATATGTTATGTTATTTGACTGTATTCCTGTTGAAGATCAATGGTATGATGATTTCCAAGAATTCAAATAATACAACAGTTGATTCGCATTAATTTAGATAAAGGAAAAATCCATCGAGTCACTCACCGACGTTACTAGTAGAATTATTTGTCAAATACAGCAGAAACTCCGCAATATATTCGGGGTACTAAAGGTATTTGAAATTCCCAACCAGAACCCCACGTACAGCAGCAACAACCTGGCAGTACACGAAAGTATTCTTGTAGAAAAATACTTAGTACTCCTAGCTTGGCTGGCAATAAAATTCAATCTATTTTCCGGGAGAATGGCTATTGATGCACTTCCGGGAATTGTGCATTACGTTGAACAAGTGCATTCAATCGAAAACTAATAGAAAACCATACTTTACATGAGGAAAACAACAAAGCATAGGCATCGTAAAATCCAACGATATTGATCGAGTTTGAGTTAGTATATTTCCCAATGTAGCTACAAGTAAAATTTTTCTGAAAAATTCTTAACTGGAGTTAGATGTATTTAACAGATTACAATGAACACAAATCAGAGGGAACATATTTTGTAGTGTCACGATGCAGGGGATTGTGGAAAAGTAGTCAGTGTCCTATCTGAACTATCTGGTGTTTTTCGAACCTTTATTTGGCTGAACACTATGTTAATCGTTACTGACTGAGGAACCTCTTTATTTGAACTAATGTGCTCTAAAATATGCAGATCTTTGTCCTTATATTTGAGTTAAGGAAGGGCTATGTGGTAATTATACACGATCCCATACGATTAGCTCCATGAATTTGTAATAATAAGGGCAATTTCCCTTCGTCCTATTTTTTGTAGCATATTCTATTACACTGCTCTTTGCTTATTAGATTAAATGTGCGAAATGCTTTAAGCTGTTATAGACAAATTTATCACCAACATCCCTTCAGTAGTTCAGTAGTCGTTCAGTCGATTCATGGCTATTTAGGACTTTGGTAACGTAACAAAAGTCGTCTTTCGTTAAAATCTAAAATTTGAAGATAGTGTGGTTTGCCGTATAAGCTCATTTTATTCTGTTGATTTGTATTACATTTTTTTTCACACATTCATTCTAATTAACTTCAAGGTGCTCAAAGAATTAGTCATTCAACTGGTTTCATTATTTACCAAATAATATTCTGCCTTTTTTAGTGTATTGTGGATACTGAGGAATTCAAGAAAATCAATCCTGACTTGGCACCTAGTTTACAAGAAGTAGAACGTGGCATTCGCGATGGTTTCTTATCTTTGGATGATCGTCTTCGACACCTTCCTCAACTTGCTAGCGGTGAAGATAGATCAGGATCCACTGCTGTCTGTGTGCTCATAACACCTAAACATATTTTCTTTGCCAATTGTGGCGACTCTCGTGCCATACTCATTCGAAAAGGTAAAGTTGCCTTTGCTACAGTTGATCATAAACCTGTAAATCCAAATGAGAAACAGCGTATACAAAATGCCGGTGGTTCCGTTATTATACAACGAGTAAATGGTTCTCTTGCGGTTTCTCGGTATGTTGGTTATGGTTTTAAAAAATTCTCTGCTGTCTTTGTGTTTGTATACATGTATATTATAATTTGAGTGATTTTCAATGAAGCAACGGTTCAGCAATCTACAGTATAACTACCTGAGGTCGCACACCGATTTAGCTAGGTTTAATATCGTGGTACAATCAAGTTGCACTCCTGAAACATATAATTTTTACTTGGATTTGTTGTTGAAGTTAATATGCACAGGGCATAGTGAATCGTAACTCAAAATAACAGTTCATTTCCAGCAAAACTCGAAATTTACAATACGGTATTGAGTATTTAAGACAGGATATTTCATCTAAGTTTGTCTTTAATTGATAACGAAGGTTGATACAATGTCTCGATATTTTTTGGAATCTCTCGAGATACTGTCACATTTTTATTTTAGTATCCCCAATCATTGCCCACTTCGAAGGGTGATATTTTCTGGTAGATTAGACTGGAATGATGTTAGGGGTGCCAAACCTAAACATGGCATTAGTCCGTGAAGTTGTGAGAGTATACTTTATGGATGACCTTTGAGCGACTCTAAGGTGACATTGTGAGTATCTACCTACTTACTAGGGCTAAATGAGGGTTATAAAGCAATGTGCCCGACCGTTGTTGCTACATTGACATGGTGGTCGGGCTTGCCTATCGTGATGAAGCAACCGAGCTATACTGGCTGGAACAACCGTTCCTCAAGGTCCTACCATGTCAGACAGGTCGGTTGAAGAGCGGTAAGACTAAAAGCAACAAACCCAAGGTCCGAAGGCGAAGTCGTACTGCTGACTGTACAGAGGTGTGACAGCAGTAAGGTGTTTCTTTCAGACAACCAGTATGACAGCGATGCTGCCTTCCCACAAAGAGGGGTGGGGTTAAAAAAGGTCGACCCTAAAAATGCACACCTCGCCTTATCGCACGGATATCCGTCTCCGGCGGTAAGGCCTCAACAATACGGAGCTAACAAGAAAGTTACCCATAAATAGGTCGTGTGTGACCGAGCTCAAGCAATTGTCCCTTGGGCACTGCGGTCACGCTCTCAGGTCACTCAGACCACCTCTAATCCAATTTTCTTTCCCGGTACCTCCAGAATAATCATTCCACGGTGTGGACAACCGGGAAGTGATAACCACGCTCATACCTCTAACAGCACTCAAGACCACTGTGTTCATAATCAACCTCCCTCTGACTAACGGTGACAATTGAGATGTACTAATAGAATACTCGTTTGCTCAACGAAACTTGTGCTGTTGCTCGGGGGTTTGGACACTTAGTTTTAAATTGTTTGGATAAAAATTTAAAACTCTCATCTTCCTCCAAATGCCCTGGTATGGCTGAGGGTGGGGAGATCACGCTCACCCCTTCGAAGTACTCTCACGTGGCCACGTGCATACAACCACTGCCAGGAAAGTCCTACTTACTGCCTTCTCGCGGCGGGGGTGTTGTTTACGAAATTGAAAGCACCAAAAGCGAATGTGCGGCACTTTAACCAAGTTGGTGGACACGGAGGGTCCACCTAGTGGAGTTGGAAAACACTGATTCTAAACCAGTGGTGCACATGGGCTGGCTCCAGGATCCCGAGTGAACAAAAGGCGTATGAACCTATTGTTGGTCACTGGTTACTATGAGACTGCGTCTCCGGTCGTAGTCCCATAAGAAAACCACCTGCTTCGGTTCAGGCACCTGAGCAGTATCACAGCCCTCACACAAACCGAATGGTGAAGTGTAGCTCACATGTATTTGGTGTCCCCTTGTACCAATATTTATGTTTAAGTAAATGAGTAAAAACTCCTTTTCAATTTATTAAGGTTTCTCACATTTGATTGCCATGATTAACCGTCATACCGTAGATGTGACTCACTTTTTGACAGGAGTACATACTTTAACATTCTGGGCAATTAATATTTTTAGCTAAAATTTCCAGTGTATCTTTTTACGCTATTATTTCGAAGTTATGCTTAATCGTTGTCATAATTCTTAACTTTTTTAGATCATTAGGGGATTATGCCTTTAAAGCTGCTAAAGATTTAGGTCCTACGGAGCAACTTATATCCCCAGAACCTGAAATCACTGTTGTTGATCGTGATAAAGATTTAGATGAAATTATCGTTTTAGCCTGTGACGGTATTTGGGATGTTTTAACTAATGAAGAACTTTGTTTACTTTTGCAAAATCGCATGCGATGTGTTGATGACTTATCAATGATATGCAATGAAACTATTGATATGTGTTTGTATAAAGTGAGTTTTTCCCTTTAATTTTCAGTCATTTGAATGTCGTTTCTGATGTTGATGTGTGTGTAAAACTGCTGATTTTGTATTGTTCAATAGGGCTTGGTTCGGTCTGTTTAATCTTAGCTATTTTTCAAAGGTAATTAAGTATTTCTTTTTTACTGTCTCCAATCTATATATCGTGATTTTCATTTTTATCGTCATGCGAAAACAGTCACCAGGCTGTATCACTTGTTATAACATGAACAGTGCGATTAGATATAAACCTGTACCTGGTAAATGAGCCATAAATCAAAGTGATGATAGATAGTGGATAAATTATTAAAAGTTAAAAACTTATGGTAGTGACTTACTCTTTTTTCATTAAAAATAACAATCAAGAGAAAGTTAAATACGACATACCATCATTTTTCAGTCCTATTTTCATATGCTGTAGCAATTCATTCGGTTGGTAATTAGACAATGTAAACTAGTCATAGGAAATGTTTGTGGTAAGTAGCTAAATGAAACGAAAATTTTAGTTGGACTCAAATCTAAACCTCTGCCGTTTTCCTTTTTTGGAAAGGTAATAAAAGCGAACATATAGATATACCCTTGTGGAAAAGCTATGTAGAATTTAAAGTTGATTCAATTCCAACGGTAGGATCAGTTTTAAACAACAACCTCTATCTTGAATCTGAGAGTTTACTTACTGCCGCTGTATCTTTTCCTCACTGTTAAAACATTAGTTCATAGACTTATATAATTGGAAATGTTTATAGTATTGATGTGGTTGATGTTTCTTGAACCATTTGCTTTCGACAAGTAATTATGGCGTAAGAAATGTTTGTTATTTGTGATTAATTTACTGTATAGGTTTGTGTATTCGGCTTCAAGCCACACGTTTTGTTTGAGAGATAGTTAAACATATTCACTCATGCCGTAACATATGTGGTGAGCATTGACCTTGAAATCCAATGGTTTAGACTTAATTGTTTTAAGCACCAAGCTACCATGATCTGTACTGTTGGATATAATCATGAAGCGAGTTCAAATTTTAATCATTACTAAGTCCTAGTAAATTTAGTCATAAAATCTTTTGCATAAGCTTGTTTTTATAGCGTATTAGATTAAATTGAAAATTATTATCAACATCTCCGTAGAGTAGTCGTTATAAGTTAAGAAAAGAACTTTACGGCATGAATATGTGATTGCTATGACCATGTGTTTCACGTCTGTCCTTAACCTACTTTTAATCTGAATTGACTAGTGATACATAGCAATATATACATGATTATATCATAATACTTAACGTAAGTTATTTACGAAGAAGAGGCTTATATACTATTTCTGTAAAGGCTACCGATACTATCCGGTTGCCCATGCTGATTTGACAGAGCTAAAATTAATCGCATTAGAGCGAATGACTTAGAGTTATTATATTCCTCAATCGTTTATTTGTCAACTGGCTTCTAATTATATTCTTGTATTCATTATTTTGTAACCAAACGTGTTATATTGTTAAAAGAGGAAACTTATTCCAATGAGCAGCTGTCTATTCTTCTGATATCAGTTCAATTAGTGGGGGTCTTACGTCTGTAATTCGGTCTCGTAAGCAATTATCACTCGAGTTCAGTGTCTTATAGGATATTATCAACTAAGCGACGTCTTTCGTTCTCTAATTTAACAGTCCTCAAACAAATTTCCATTACAGATCATAAAAGGTTAATCCATAACACATGTTGAAGTATAGTTGGATTCGAAGTTAAAATCTGCTGATTGAAACTTGAGTGGTTTGATCAATAATAGATCGTCAGAAATTGTGTAGTGGAATTTATATGTCTCACAACATGAAACACCTTTTAGCTTTGTGAAATCAGCTATATTTTTTGTGATTGATAAACTAGTGAAAACCAACATTGTTTCGTTATCACATAGACTGGTCAATTGGTTTATCACTTATTTACAAATTCTATAATTTCTATTTTTTTATTTTCCCTTATTGAAGGGGAGTTCCGATAATATGAGTATGGTTCTAGTGGCATTTGATCCTGCTCCTCGAGTAGATCCTACTTCTAAAACGGAAGATGAAAATTTAGAATCTGTTTTAGTACAACGTACTAAAGGTAAGACGTTGGTGCTATTGCTTTATAATATTCTGTTATTTTATCGTTAGTAGTTTAGGGGATACTTGTCGCTCGAATGTCTATGCTCTTATTTTACAGTAAGTTTTATCATGCCTGATGCGTAATGGTTATGCAGCTGTAGTGCTCCTACCAACATTCCAATATTCGTTCTGAACACGGAACTAACGAACCAAAATTTATTCGATTAGAACAAATCGCGTTCTTCTGTATACATACTAAGCGCCTTTGAGTGACTCGTATTAAATTATATCAAAACACAAACTCTTTGCTCAATTTAAACGGTTCTAATTTGAGAAAAAACTATCAAAAGTACAAAACACATCAAGCGGTACAGCCTGTGCTATATAGTCAAAGGTTTCTCTAGCACAAAGTAACGTGTTAAACAGCAAAAGGAATAGTTAACAAACAATAGTTCGATACCTGAGAATGGGATCAGATATCTATCGTCAAGGATTCCAGTAACTTTTCAAAGCAGACAGTCAGGTTAACAGTCATACACTGAACTACGCCGCGACATTGAGTTTAGTCAAACACGACATTATTGTCAATTGTCCGGCAACATGCAACAGTAAAATTAAGTAATGAGGTAAATCTCTAACCAAGATCAAATAGAAAGGTCAAGACAAGAAAGACTGAAGAACATAGAGTGTGGTTAAAAAAGACCTGAATGAAAGTTAGAATACAGGACAGGGAAAAGGAACAAATGAATAACAATACTGCCCAATAAAATGCTTTGGAGGTATTTTCAGAGTGTTCTTTCCGTTATAATGAATGTTGTTCACCTAGAGGAAAGAGAATTAGTGTTGATTACATAAATATGTAAAGCGAAATTTAAATGTTTATGTTTTGGGATTCTTCGTAGTACTATCATCCTGCCTACCAACTGACTCACACTCACTTATACAACAGTGTTTTAGAACATGGACAAATTCGCCTGCATTTAATCTCAGATGATACATACTATTTCTTACCTCTATGTAAAATTCTAATACATATTTGGTTGTATGCAGCTGATGAGAAATCACGAAATATAGTGAATTCATATTATTCTGTATCTATATTTGTTCTGGCTTTATTTAAATTCGTAAAGGAAACTAACTGCTTGAAATCTCAGATCTATTATTTTACCTGATGTTAACACTTGACCCAGTCTGAGTTATTTTGCTGATGTTTGTTATTGAAATATCTATCAAAGAAGCTCACAGATCTATAGGAAAGCTAGGATTTGAATTAACCATTTGAAGCAATGTTCGTCGGCGCATCTCACATTTCTTAATTCCTATTCATAAATATTCTCTTAGAGATAACTCTTCATTTGATCTTTCACTGTTTCGTCTCTTAAATAGAAAGTCTTTCATCAGCTGTGAGTAGTACACTTATCATGTAGTTGTGTTTGATGAGAATACTATTAATGGTGCAGTTGCAATAATTTTTATAATCGTAAATTTCCAAAGCTATTTTATTACTTTTGGACTATATTTCATAAATGTGGTTTTCCTCTACCATCCAAACACTTGGAATTTGAGGCTTTATAACCTTTAATTTTTTTTCACTAGGATTATGCAGAAATGTTAATTAAAAATTCAAGCTATTGAATTCTCCGTCTTTGCACACTATCTGTAACTTAAGAATATAGATTGATAATATTTGAGGAAATTCTTATTTTCCTTAGATTTCAATTTGAAAATAGTTCTGCTGCATAATGATGTTCACGACAGCTGGTTGCAAGTTAATTCATAGTAATCGAATCTGGGAAAGTGTTATTCAGTACACCAAATAATGCAGCAGTATAGCAAAGCAAGAAAGTTCATGTAATATGAAATACTACTTACTGTCTAATTTAGTGGTTTATGGAACTTTATTTCTGGTGAAGTCACTTTTCCTTACTGTTTGAAGTCATTTAGAGTCATTGAAAACGAAGGAGCACCAAACTACTTCTTTAACCTGCGCGATTCGTCAACAATGCACGTTCGTATCCTTGATATGGAATCCAACCAAGGATCCTAACATTTTGCAACTAAAGCGATACTGTGTCGGAATCTAGCGTCTACGTTTTCCGACTTTAGTCATTTCGGAATGTAGCACAATCATCAATAATTATTAAGTGATCTTTGGTAACTTTGAGATGTATGTGTCACAGATTTTCGAAAGAACGTTAGTGTGTCAGCTCAGTTTTGCGCACCGATGAGAGCTAAAAGAACGAGTTAAGCGATATCGGTTAATCTAAACCATGAAATTCCGACTCAACAACCGAATAGTGTCATGCTCATTCCGAGCTTCGTTGGATTAAGATTTTGCCTATTATAGAGTCATTAGTAGACGAAACGGCTGTTCAGTTCTTTTTAACTCTTAGTGGCTTTTACGAATTATGCCGATCCACAGTGAAGTTTACTATCAAAATGGTATCCATATTATAAGCTTATTTGTTAGTCCTCTTTAATCTAGTCACAGATGACCAGAGGGTCACTAGAGGTTCTTTCACCGAGTATTCCATTAAACAGGTCTATGGCGGATTGGTTCAACCATGGATATTTCAATTGATTGATTACAGATTACACTTTTAAGTGGTTCATTCAAACAACAGGCAAAAGATGTGACTTGAAGACTAGTTTAAGAACTTGTCTGCATAAATTGCAAATATTTTGCAAATCGAAAATATGTAATCTTACGTGTATGTAGTTTGTATAGCTTTATAATACTAACTAAAGCGATTTATTTTGTGCTATGCGTATAAAATCAAGTCAGTTATTTGTTTTAAATTTGTAGTATAATTCCATTTCACTAAAGTTCTAAATTCATTTCTTTTCTCTATTTTATGTATATAATGGGGCTATTTTAACTTTTCACTTCCGGCTTTTCCGCATTATAATCTACTCTTTTTTTCCAGTAAATAATGTGTCTAATTGTTAAATGCTATTTTCTTTGATGTATACAATGAATATCAGTGAAAAGAAAGCTTTTATTTGCTTTGATATCAGTGATTAAACTATGCATAGTGTTTGGTTTTTAATTTTAAATTTTTTATTTTTCCTGATGTTTATCTGAAAGGACTATAATTTCCTTTTCTCATTATAGAATTTTTGGAAAAGCATAGCAAAACTGAAGTAACAACTGAAATGGTTGTAGAAGATTTACAAGCATCCGTTGGCAGTTTGCCATCTTCTGGAAATTGGCTTTGCAAGTAAATCCCTTTCTGTACTTTGTTTCTTTCAATGTTATTTTATATTTTCTTCTTATCGGTATTATGAAATGAAGGAGGTACATTTTCATGCGAAATCAATATTGATTCGCTGAACATCCACGATATTAGGGCAGTTAAATTATAACATTGAGACTTGATTATGCTTTTGTAGACTGTGATGAAGAAACTAATTAGTTGAAAAGGTCTTGATGGTTCTTATCCAAGATCCAACTTTCTAAAACTGGGAAACAATCTGTCAGTATTTTTACTTGTGTTATAATTTTAAAATAATACTGACTTATAGAGTAAATAACTTCTACACTTTTTTAAATCAAAAGTCCGATATATATTCGTGAGAATATTTAGAAAATTCACTAGGGATTGTTTATAATATACTTTATTCATCATGTTAAACGAGCTAATAATCTTCTAATTCATTGACCACGTACAAATATATACATAGTTCTCTAAATTCTACCAATACTACCTATTTGACCGAACTTAAGAATATGTGGTTGACTTCAAACTTGAAATTCGAAAGAATGAAAATAACAGTCATCGTTTTTTCCTTGAATAAACAAGTCAAGTAAGTAATAAATGGGAGAGATTATCTGGTGAAAGTCAATATTATTAGTACTGGGAGTTTCGTGGTTTATGTCACGTAATGACTCTAGGCAACCGTTGAAAACCAGGGTGTTTTGTTTGCAGCAGTACGCATTCAAGACCTCTCACGAGATGGAGCTTAGAAACCTCAGGTCTCTCAATGATGGACCTTTAGATTTTAGAACATTGGGTTCAGCTTTGAACAACAGCCCATTTGGTTAAGATTCAATTTGCATTTAGAGCTTGAGTCAACTCGCTTTATTGCTCAATAATCATCCACTCAACCCCTTTGTTGGATAACTGCGTCATTTTCGATTTGGTTGAGCTCCACTCGTCATGGCTCTTCGCTAAAAACCCTCAGGGTTCAATTCATGGGCGCATACCTCCAAGGAATCTCATTTTAGGACGAAACAGTTGTCTAAGGTTTTCCTGGTTTCCAACTAAGTTCCGTCCGCGATGTAAATCACTAAAAACCTTTCTTCGTATAACTGGTGTTTTATGTATGTTATTCTGTGGTCGTTAGTCATTTTTGTTTGTGGTGGAAAATTGGTATGTACTTTATTTCGGTTGGTAATTACTTTTTTTAATGATTAGTTTTGAAATATTATTCAAGTCAACTTTAATGTATTTCAATGCAGTACTAATCTGTAAGTATGCATGGTTTGGTGATGGAAAGGTAAACTGCTTCAAGCTATTGAGTTACTTATTTTGACATTTGGATGAATTGTTTCGTTTGGAACACAAAATTAAGACATTATGTGAATTGAGAGATTGTTCAAACAATTCGATTGATTGTACGTCGTATATTTATTTATTTGACAAATGTTGTAAGAATTTAAATAGTTTCTCCAGTAAAAATTGATTTTAAAGCATATTTATTCAAGAATTCCCTTCTTCTGTATAAATTCAAAACTCCATTCCATCTAGTGTGTCGAAAATATCAGCAAATTCTAGTGATTACTAATTCGTTAAACTCTGCAGAAAACCTGAAACATCAACCTGGTATATCCTAGCGGAGTCACATGACGTAGTTAGTTTTGCAATTCAGATTCTTAAAAATTGTCAGAATTTAGTGTGGTTCACATTCAGTTAAATAAAGTTAATTTGGATAATTATTCAAACTACAGAAATTTGTAAGTATAAAATGGGAATTATAACTATATGAAAAATATATGATTAACTTAATGCAAAGTGACTTATCTTTTCAATTCGTTGTTTTTCTCTTCTTAGGATTGGCAAAATCCAAGAACTGATTGATTCTCATCGTCTGGCTCATTCAAATCGTGGGATTGAGAACCGATGAACTCATATACTCTCTTATCCTTCATTCTCTCATCTTTTTTATTCTTTCTTTTAAATGTATCGACTGCTTGTGTTACGTTTATGCTTTGTATGTATGTATGGGTGTTTGTAAATATGATGAATATACTTGAGCTAATCTACTCTTGTCTGATTTTCATATGCTTAAATGAATATTCCTAAATTGTTGCTTATAGATCTAGTCACTCGCTGTTTAATCAATTGATGGAAAGTTGCTAATGATGATACTATAGGGTTTGTACATTTCATCTTGTTGAATTATATTCATTTCCATTTGCAATCAATATTTCCGTCATATATATATATATATATATATATATATATATATATATATATACTTCATGCTCAATATATCTTTATTTTCCTTCCTTTCTATTCACCGAAGTATGTGTATTATCTTCAGTCTATCAAACGATAATGTGCAGTATTATATATATTTATATATATTTTTTTCTCTATCTCTTCATTTTCTTTTCACATATTTGTGTAATATATTTCATGTGGTTTCATTTGATCCTAACAGTAGTAGAATAACGGTAATAGTAATAGTATTTATTATTATTATTATTATTTTTTATGATACTGTTGAATTTGTACATGATCAGCAAAAAGAAAAAAAACACAAGTTGGTACTGCATTTATTTATTACCATTTTCATATTCATAAATTTATAGTTTTGAATGAGGCTAGATTGTTTTTTTTGTTGCTACTTGGTAATTAATGTTGGTGTTTTATTTCACTCATGTTAACGTAATTTCTATAATTTGTTTCTTCTATGTTGCTAGAGGAAAATTAACCCAGAGATATTCAATATTATGTTTGTGTGCGTGTATGTGAATAAATATGAATCTAATCATTTAAAGTCAAAGATATTTTTCTTTCTATACAAATAAGTCATTCATTGGTCTCAATGCTGTCTCATTTAAATACTGTTATGAGCACTAGATGATCAATAATAATACAAATAGTGTTGAACATAAGAATTATTGAATATCCGGTACTGTTTATTCTTTTATTAATTATTATTTAGTAAATATGTTTACATATACAGAGGAGAGTATGTAGTTATAACAAACTGAACAATACTAGCCATGGGTTTACAAAAAAAATGAGTAGGTCCTATATTGTGCTTTTTTTCCAATGTTGTACTCAATAAATATGTATCTTCAATATGATAACATTTTGATGCACCAATGCCAACTTATATGCATTTAATTTGTTGATATATTTTTCTTTTGTTTTTTTCATTTATTTACATTGTTATATAAGATGATTAATTAATAACAAACTGTATGTAACAGAATATTTGTATTTGTAGTAAGCTATTTGTAACCAGTTTTGAAGATGAAAACTGTTAATGTTTCATTAAAATATTCGTTACGCGTAAATTTATTCACATTAAACATGTGTAACAGATTTTCTTTTTGTTTTAGTGATATCTGGAACCTCGTACATTTTTATGCATAGGTTGTTTTTCCTTATATTGGGCAGTTCAAAGTTTCTGTTTGTTTTCATTTCGTTTAATTCACTTAAGAATTTCACATGAATTTTGGATATTAATTCGTTTAGTTGGTAATTACATAGTCGTTCAATGAATTTATCATTAAATGATGTGAATCATAACAAGACAGCTTAGTGCTCTTTTTTTTCAATAAACAGATTTCACATTGACTAGACTTATATACTATCGAGAATAACGATAAGTTATCAGCTTTTCAAGTTGTTATATTGATTACTAAAATTCCTAGTTATATCAACTGCACTAAATATTCAAAGATAAAATTAAGTTATTATTTACTGTACGATATTTCTGTACTTCACCACATACGTGCAAATAAAGTGACCATGTAGCATGAAATAGTTAAGCCAGTTTAGTGAATTCATGATAAGAGCTAAATACAATGTCTAATATTACGAATAGGGAAGAGTTATGAAAAGGTATTTTTTGGAACAGATTATTTTGAATTTGTCATTTGCATCATGTTTTAAGTTTGAGTAAAATACCATTGATAACCTAGAAGCGCTAGAAGGCTATTGTCTTCTATTATGGGACTTCTTTTCAGTGACCATTTACAACTTCCAGGAATCAGACAGAAGTTATCCAGACCCCACAAGATATGAGTTATCTTCAAACCAGAGATGACAAATAGCTTTCTTATTTTTATACTTATAAACAAACAGTATGAAGCTTAGAAAGCTCCTAGTAATCTTTATTAAATGTTAAATTTCATAAGAATACATTTGTGATGCGGAGATATTATACTATGGAAAATAACGATTTTCTTAGTTCAATCGACTATCTTTGTTTTCGCATAATACTACCTAGTATTCATTCAACGAATTGTTTTTTAGTTGATTGCTTTTGTTTATTGTCCAGTAATTAGTAATAGGAAAATGTTATACAATATTCCACAATAATGTACATTAAGTTCAAGAAAGAGATATCTAATAACTGTAAGCCACTGACAAACCGAATCCACGAAAACTCATAATATAAATCTACTGCGTTTTTTTTCATTCATACATTCTCCATCTGTTTAATCAGGAAGTTAAGCTTTGAATAATAATAATAATGTCCTTTTGGAGGATTTTCACACACTTGTATAAACACTTTTCTTAATAATCCATTGTCAAATAAGTAAAAGTAGAGCGTTTGTTTCTCTATCAGTTGTCTATACCAGTATATCACATAATTCTGCTCTTGATATCAACAATTCACTATTCGAGTTAAATTGTATTTACTATCATTTTCATATCGCATTATGATTTTTAATATTTTTCGCATATAATGTCATAATGTAATCGATAGGATAATAATCAATTAATAACTGATTGGAGGTGAATTCTACGTAATTGATTATCGAATTTCAATGAATTATTTCAATTTAATCGATCGATAATGGTACAAAATAAAATAATGAAAGGTTACAGTTTCAATTTAAATTAATGTGATTAAAAGTCACAAAAAGAAGAAAAATAGTGTCAGCTCTAGAAACAAAAAAAAATGTATAGAAATTCATTAAAATGTAAAAAATAGAAAATGATAAATTTAACCGTTAACCTAAGTTTACTAAGCGTGATTTAATGATAACTAGGTTAGATGCTTATTAAAATTTTGATAAAATATTGTACTATACCATGCTAATACAATATTTAAAACAATTAACACGAATTGAGTATTATATATGTATATATTTCCGTTAATAAACACTTTGTAAAGTGCTAGTAACAAAAATTTTGAAAAAAATGAATTCAATTCATTTTGGCTATTCTAAGTCTCACTGATTGAAATCATGAGTCAATTGAAGCTAGACCACCATGGAAAACCTGGAATCACTGGACGGCCGTTTCGTCCTAGTATGGGACTCCTCGGCAGTGCGCATCCACGATCGTGCACCCCGCGAGATTCGAACCCATGACCTATCAGTCTCGCGCCAGACACTCAACCAACTAGACCACAGCCGGCATCCAACGGTGTTAATGTCTAAACTTCAACCAATCCACGAAGTTGCGCCACCGTAAACCATTGTTTTCAGTGAGCTGATATCTCGTGGGGTGCGGGATCATGGACGCGCACTGCTGAGGCGTCCCATACTAGGGCGAAACGGCCATCCGGTGCTTCCAGGTTTTCCATGGTGGTCTAGCGTCAATTGACTCATGATTTCAATCCGTGAAATTTCTAAAAATTTCCACAAAACCCCTTCTGATATTCTAAGTCTTCCAAATAAACATTAGTTTTATTTTTCGGAGGTCCAGAAAATCCCTCGAGAAAAGCTCAAAGGTGCCGGGAAAACTGGAAAACATCTTATTCAATCAGCGATCAATAAAGTATCTAGGACGTAAAGTCATATTTGTGACTGGATGATTGCCAATCCTGCTACTATGTTTAGCAAGATTCCAGAAGCCCAAGACCATCTGTACATAAACTAACCCTGAAGTAAAGCGTTCTTTCCATATTTTCCGTGCTCAAGTAAGGACAATCATGGACAAGTATAGAACCGAGAATCAAGTTAAAGGGAGAGACAGTCAAGATCGAGGTGGATAGGATAAGTTGTTAGCCATATGTGGGGAAATTCTAATACTGGAATTCCACTTGAAGTTTTTGCTGAGGATATTGTTCAGAAAAAACAGTGATATCTCCACGATTAAAGCGTCGAGTTCTGAGAACGAAACTCTAAAATTATCTGTGAGCTATAAATCTGCAACCCCATCTTAAAGATGATATGAGGCTCTGCTGAGCAAAGAGTTTTTCTCAAGGATTCTGAAATTCGCCTTTTCTATTTTACCGCAGCAATTTCTTATTCAAGTTCAATATTCGTGAAAACTTTTCAACTCTCGATGATCTGTCAGGTTATAGTTTTGGTGTTAAGTTTCTATCGATGAATCAAGGTGAATAATCACATCAGTCGAAGTTAACTATTAGAATTTATATATGGCTGAATAATAGCTTTTTTTGTCAAAAGTAATATGACAGGACTATACCATGACACATGTTCTATTGAACTGAAAATGACTATTCACCGCTCCTCTCCCATGCTAATACGACAATCTATTAATCAGTTATATAGAGATTGCAATGCTTCATTTCTTCTTAAAAATAATGGAAAGGATTGTGTTTAGCAAAACAAAATCTCGATAATCAAACCATTTACTACAGAGTTGAAACCTTAACAAATCCCACTTCTTAGCTAAACATCTCCATTTACTCAAATGTTGGTTTGATAAGGGTAATAAGGCATAACAAAAACTACAGTTAAATATAAAAGTTACTAGAAACGGTAATTCTAACAGTGGAAATTATTACGATATAAGATAGATACAGAGGTGAGAACGTTTTGGTGGTTTATTAATTATCTTATCGATCTTCAGCAGTTACCATATGGTCAAAATAATTTCCATATCACTCTTGACGTTTTACTATTAGTGGGTAGGGCCAGAAAAACCATTTCTGAAGTTATTACTTCTTCATATTCAGTTGATTATGGTATATGGCTGTTGGATTATTGTTTCCAGTCACTTCAGATTTCTAAAAATATGTAAAAACAATTACAATAGGTCAGTCAGTTATACTAAGCGTAAAACCTGGACTATATTGGCGACGGTTGAAGTTGGTGCACTGTATTATCGCAGCGAGATGGGATCGATAACATAGACCTCAATGTAGTAGAAATAGATATAACGTCAGTAGTACGAAAGATTGTGGATTTGGAAAGAAGGTACCAAGAGATTCTGGGGCTCAAGATCTAAGAGAATACATAGAATGGATGAATTTAGACCATTTTATCCGATTAT